CCGAGTCCCCTCCGCCTCCCTTTGGAAGCGAGCGAGGCGGAGGGAGGCGGCGAGGCTGCGAGGCGGAGGCCCCCGCGCCGGCCCGCCCGCAAAGTGCGGCTCTGACACATCCCGGGCATGGAAGTTAAGTGACAAAACTCTGGACGTGGAGCTGCCGCCGCGGAGGGACCTGGGGACCGAGAGCCGGGAGGCGGCCGCGGGTTTCTCGGGCGGCGCGCCGGCAAGTTTCTGGAACACTTTCTAGGAATTGGGTCTTTTTCCTGCCCCTTCATCCCCCCGACTCCTGAAGAGGGAACTTGGCTTTGGATCGCGAAGGAGCCTGAGGAGTGAGGGTGGGACACACTTGAGTCGTTCCTCCGACGGGGCTGAATTCGTGGGAATTTCGGGAGCCGGAGGGTGGACATCTCGGCGGCGTTGGCGGTGCCCGCTGCCAGCTTGGGCGGATCTGAAGGTGCCCCACGCAAGACCTCTCCACGGAGCCCTCCTCGTCTTGAGATGGGCTCTTCCTGACTTTAATTAGCATCTAGCAAAGCCTGAACTTTGGACCTACCTCTTATTTTGATACTTATTTTTGTACTTTTGCTCTCTGGGATTGGTTTCTTAAGCAATCTGGATCCTTTTTAATATGTCAAAATGAGTCGGCTGATGTTTACCCAACTTCTGCTCTGTGGATTTTTATATATTCCGGTTGATGGTAAGTTAAAAATGCTTTTATTTACCCACCCCACCCCTCCGCCCCCAAACCCCACTTCTTTCTTAGGGGGATGTGGGCTCTAAATAAAATGACATTATATGTATAAGTCCGTTTTGGCCAGGAATGGGTTTTTTTTTTTGGGGGTGGGGGGGCAGATATTTAAGTCTTTTGTTCCTAAACGTCCGCCAGTGGAACCTATTAGTACTCGCCTATTGTTGCTTTTTAATTAATTGAGGAGTTGGGTCATAAACGATGGGATCTTAGTTTTGTTAGGAAAGAATTACTAAAGGAAATCTCTTGAACGAGCCTAATACAGTGGTACCTGCTCTGTTTGCTGTTTGTTCTTGTATCTGAACTTTGACTTAGAAATTCAAGTCAAGAGGATTAGTAGTGGATGCTCCATCGACGGCTCATTGAGTTAGGAATGCGGGACAGGGTCTCTTGGGGATCAGTGCGTAGCACCTTCATGCTGGCGAGTGCCCTCCGAGTGTGAAACGGGAATGGAGAATTTAGGTCTTAGGGAGAAAACTGTCAAAAGTGAGACTGGGCGAGGCTCCAATAAGGGGGAAGCGTGAGCCCTGGGCCGGTGGGGGGCAGCTCTGTCCCCCGTGGCAGACACAATGGGGATCGGAAACAGGTGCTGGCGGTGTCTCCCTCTAGGTTGAGTCAATGTTCTGCCTCTGATGCTTCTGTCTTTTGTTCAGATTTGGTTTCCTGGGATATTTTCATAGGATGTCAGTTTCTTGTGAGAGGGTTGCAAAATCCTTTTTTGGAGCCGTTTTGAATGACAAGTGGAAGTAATCATTAATATGCTTTATTGTGTGTTCAAAGAAGGCATCTGGTATTAACCTTCCAGGGACTTTAATTTCTACATCAATGAAAAGAATTGGTCTAAAGAGAAGACTAGACCATGGGCCCCCCCGCCCCCTCCCAAATGGGGATTATAGTACTTTAGTTTTTAAAATGCTGTATTTGTAAAGAACCTGAGGTGGATCGGTCCAAGTATTTGAGCCATCATAGTTGCTTGTTGCTACATAAACTTTCCTCCAGCATATGCATTGTGGACAAATTCATTATTTGGGACACTGCCTATTTTTGCCTGCCTGTAGGAGCTAACTTTGTTCTTGGCAGCTGTAGCTGCACAGAAACCAATGTATTGGACTCAAAAAGGAAGCCTTTCTATAAACACAAGGCAACACAGACGAATTTACCTACTGTCATGTGGTTGTTTTCAATCCTGGACCACATGAGGACCTTTGCCTCCCAGGGATACTAGGCAAGGCATTCATGTGGGCACATTGCTTCTCTCTTGCCCCCTCTAAGTAGGAGATGTTTAGGAATTAACCACTGTGAATTATAGTGTGGCAATATCTATAATCATATCGAGTCATCCACCATGCATTTTCTTTAATACACTTTATCTCTACAATACATTTACGTCTCTATAACAAAAAGGTTCACAGAATTCTTTCCAAATGTGTTTGGGTATCATGATTAGAAGACTCGGATATAAGTTTTTGGGTAATATGCTCTCATAAGACATGAATTTACATTTTGTAATACCAGAAATACATGTAGAAACTATATATTAGACTACAGAATTATCACCAAGTTTTTTTGTTTTTTGAACCGGTGTGTAGCTAGGAGGAATACAATTAAATTGCTCAGTGGAAGTGACAGAGAGAATCAGAAGAGCTTGGTGTTACAGAATGTAATTAATGTACCAGAGTGTTTGGAGATATATGAAACAAATGCAATTAACCAGCTTGCTGGAACAGCAGTAGCAAGACATCATTTCTCGCCTGCCTTCCCTCCCTCCTATCCTGCCTCTCTCACTTCTTTCCTTCTCTCCCCCCCCCCATCTCATCCCTTCTTCCCCAGGGACATACCTAGGACCTTTGTTCTGATATAATTTTTTAGGATAAGCGGGGGAGGGGATTTGTGTCTGGGCCGCAATTATTCAGCCAAGTTCATAGTAATGTAGCAAAAAACGTTTAGGGTGGAGGGATTGAAAAGGTAATGTTAAATTTGTGTGTGTGTGTGAAACTGATTTTTGTATTTAGCATCTACTATGTCAAAAAGCAAAGAAAACTGTGGACACCTAGTGAGTTCCTATGTAAATCATACTGTTGACATTGGATTGCCTTTGGTTTACTCCAGAATGATGACAGCTTCTCCATGGGGATTGCTGAAAATTTGGGATGTAGGCAACACTGCCCTCTAGGCCATTTCAACACCGGGACGGAGCGTTCGCATAGATAATGACGGAGCTGGCTGGCCGGCTCGCTAAGCCTTCTTACTCTCCTCGCCCAGGATTCCATGATTTCTATTTATTCATTATACTTCTTAGAAGCGTGTGCCCATTCTCCCCATGAATTTCAAATGTAGAGGGGCTTGTACCATTTCAAAGATATACTGACTGTCCTTGTGCTAGACACAAAAATTAATTTTATTCAGTGACAAATGATACATAGATTTGCATTGAAATTTGCTTGGTGGGTTATTTATATGTGCATTTTTATGGTATATGTAAAATGCTAGCGTTTTGCCTTCTCATAGAAGGTACATGCTAATATTATTTATGATTGCTCAGTATCTTGTGTCTGTAGGAATCCATAGAGAATAAATATTAAGTTAGTTGAGAGAACTACAGGCAAACTTTTCTATTTGGGATGTCAATGCAGATTTTCTCATTTGATACAGGTTAATTAACCAAATGCAGATTTTTCTTTGCTATTAATAGGATGTGTAATGAGCTTAGCCTTTGTTCTCCAGATTGTCTTTATTTTTAAATAAGAATATGGTTTTGTAGTCATTTACAGGAAACTAATATGAACCATCACCAGACTCTTTAATTACATTTATATCCCACACATTGCGTCAATTCCATAAGTGTATAATACTTCAATACCTGTAAAAGGATGTTTTAAAAATGAGAATATTTTCCTTATCTGAGCCTTTAATGACCTTCATCTCCCTGAAGGATGGGTGCAGGCAGCTATGCGACGGCAGGAGATGTTCACTTGAAGAGCCTGCCCCGACTGAAGGCTTTGCCCATGTGCTGCTGTAACTATTCTTAAATGAAAACGACACACATGATATTTGGGAAGATAAAGATAATGTGTGTGCATAGTGCAGCTATATAATCTCATGCAGGTTTATACATTTTGCTAAAGTGCTTCTTTCAGTAATGGGCTCATTATTGTAGCCATATGTAGTCCATTTCAGAACTAAAATTGCATATAAGTAACCTGAAATTTGTTCTTGGGGCTGTGCAGTAATATCACGTTTGAATTGGCTTTGTTTGAATAACCTTTGAGTACAGGCAACATGTGGACCATAAACCAAAAGGATTTCTGAGAACATCAAAAAAGACTGTCTTAAAGGGGGGGAAATGCCATGGTTATACGAAAAGAACAATTCTGGCTGTCGCATCCCTTAGCTGCCTGTATAAAATAGCATCTTTGATAATAAAAATATGAGTATGTAAGTACATTGAATACATTTGGATCCATGTCTAGTAATGGAGAAAGCTCGTGTTTGTGGGACGAGTGTCTAGTAATATCTGCTTCAGTAGTTCCTGCAATCTGTAGGAGATAAATTTACTTCCTGTGTGCAGTTTGTATTTTTGTTTAAGATGTGTTTTTTATTGATTTCAGGGAGAGAGAGAGAGAAACATCAGTGATGAGAGAGAATCAGTTTTCGGCTGCCTCCTGCACGCCCCCTACTGGAGATGGATCCTGAGCGGGAATCGGATCAAGAATCAAACCAGGACCTCCTGGATCATGGGGTGATGCTCAGCCACTGAGCCACACCCGCCAGGCTGTAATTTGGTTTTCAACAAGTATTAGAAAGATTTTCCTTTTACTTATTTATCCTCCTACTTCTCCCCTCCTCCTCTCTGCCGCCTCCTCTCTTTCTTGGATCTGGTGGAAGGAAATTAAAGATACATTTGAAGAGTAAAAAAAATAAAAATAGGTGAGGGTGTTTCTTGAATAATAATTTAGAACATGAGCATTTAAAAGAGACATGTTAATAATCTTTTACCTTTGGGTATATCAGATTGGGCTCTAGACTCTATCATTTTTTTTTATCATACTGTATAGTTTTATGCAAACGCATTTTATATAGATCCTTTCTTCTTTCAGTTTAGGCAGATAGAAGTCTACAGATCAGAGTTCAAGCAGACAATGGAAGCTTATAGAGTACCCTTTTGTAGATTTATTGTTAAAGAAAAGTATTGTTATGTTTGTTACAGTATCTTCAGATACAGACCTCTCAATCTAAATCAATACATTGATATTGACTTTCTTCTTCTTTTTAATTATTGAATAAAACATGAATGAATGACAACAAAGCCTTTTAGGGGAAATCCCCATAATCTTTTTTTAATGTGTCAACAGTGTATTATACTGCAATAGAGATCTCATTTAGCATCTAAAGTGTAGCAGTCTCACCCAAAATACATATCTGTAACTCAAAACAGTGTTATTCCTAGAGATAGGAGTAACCTGGGCCTCAAACCTTAGTGTTTTCTTCTCCATGTGCACCTAATCCTTAAGATCTTTCATCTAGGTGCATGCGTTTTCCATCCATCTTTATGCTGATACTTCTCAAATTGCCCTAGTCACTGTGTAGAAAAATATAAGTTCCATTGGTCTACAGTTTGGCTCTTACACCATTGCCGCTCCAGTGGCTGGAACAGTGCTTGATATATCTAGCTGCCTGTTTGACATCTTTGCTTGATAGCTAATAAGAATGTATTAAACTGAAGCCCAGGATAGAATCTTCTCCTTTTCCTTGTCATCTCCAGCTCAGCAAATGGCATCACTATTCACAGAGTTGTTCATGACCCAAAACTTGACTGGTACTCACAGCCCATATCCAAATTGTTAGTGAACTCTGTTGACTATAAACAAACTCAGCCCTCAGCCAGATATTTCTTCAATAAAATGCGTTTATTTGGGAGCGACATGGAATTGCAATCCGTACATGGAACC